GCTGGAGGTCCTGGACATCTTGTTTAGATACATGGCATCTTTGATTCTATCAAATACCAACAGATAAAAAAATCAAAAAGTGACTGACTCTGTTAGAAATCTAATAATGGGCCGTGGTTGGATCTTCCATCAGAACAATAATCAAAAACAAACATCAAAATCAACACAAAAGTGTGTCACTGAGCACAAAATGAAGCTTCTGCCATGGCTGTCTCAGTTCCCTGAACTAACCATGTAGAAAAAGAGTGGGGTGAACTGAAGAGAAGAAGCACCAACATGGAGCAGGTATTCTGGAGGATCTGGAGATTCTTGATGAAGGGATGGTCTCTGATCTCTCGTCAGGTGTTCTCCAAACTCATCAGGCATTATAGGAGAAAACTCAGAACTGTTATCTTGGGAAAAGGACATTGCAATAATTGGGTGCCAATAAATGTGGCTAACGTGAACTAGAGAAAAACATTTATTTCATAATGAGATTTTCCCCCCAATTTCCATTGTTTTACTTCAATGAAAGGTTAGAATTTTGTAAATTTTTTGATTTTCATATTATTTTATTTATTTATTTTAATTAATTAAATAATTTGATTTTTTAAAATCTTTTTCTATTATGTATTATTTATTTTTAGCACCGTTTTTCTCTAAACATTTCCACGGACCTTCTAGCACTCTCTTGGGGGGTTTGAAAACTCGTCTATGCTGTAAATATGACTCCTCCTATGTTTAACCTGAACCAACAGTGGCCAGCTGAAGTTACATCAAGCACCAAGCAGGAGGATCTGACTGCCAGCTCTCAGTTGATGGGTCTGCTGGCTGTGCTTGTGGCCTGCTTCTCCAGCGGATTTGCTGGCGTGTATTTTGAAAAGATCCTCAAAGAGAGCAAGCAGAGTGTCTGGATCCGTAATATTCAGCTAGGTCAGCAGATTTTTATTAAAAATGTGAACCTAGAAAAGGCCCGGCAACCTATTTTCATTTTTGTCCTGAAGAGAAACAAAAACACATTTAGTTTTAGGTAGCCATTGTTTACAAGTTTCTGCTTCAGGTTTCAGGAAATGTGTTTGCTTTTGTGAAACAGGTTTGCTTTTTCTCCACACGTGTTCCATTGTTCGTTTCAGGTTTATTTGGACTGATTTTTGGACTTGGGGGAGTGTTTGCGTACGACGGAGAAAGAGTGCAGGAGAATGGACTCTTTCAAGGGTACAATCATGTGACGTGGACTGTGGTGGCTCTTCAGGTACATTTTCACTTCTTTCTCAGAATAGCACATGCACAGACCTGCGTGTCACATTGTTATATGTGTTAAACCTGTTTCACATACTTCCTGTAGGCTTTGGGTGGGTTAGTCATTGCAGCTGTCATCAAATATGCAGATAACATCCTGAAGGGCTTTGCCACATCCATCTCAATCATTCTGTCCACCCTCATCTCTTATTTCTTGTTGGAAGATTTTGACCCTACTAGGTAAGACAGTCGCATTTGTATTTGGGTCTTTCTTGGGGAAATGGTGCCATGTGTGTCCCTTACTACTGGTAAAATTCACAAGATACTGAATACTCCTGTGAATTATCAAACTGTATACACAGTACAAGCGTATTTGACTTTAGTGTGTACGTGGCTAAAGAGCATCCCTCCCTAAACTCACGCAAATTGTTGCTGTGTTGAACTGGTCGGGATGAGCCAACAAACAGAGCAATCTTTTGATTTGTTTGAAGTGCCTCTTTGCCCTCTGAGGCAATTAATTCACACGTATTCATTGCAGATGTATGTTTGTGTAGATCCACACGCAAGTGTTTGGTTTGTACTGTTTTACAACACATTTGTTTGTTAAATGCGTCTCCTGACTAGAGTTACATTTTTGGTCATTTACATTTGTGTCATTTTACATGTTTAAATTATGCCAGAGCACATTATCATTTCAAAAAACAAATCAAAGATTTGTGTGCATTCATTATGTTGGTTTGATATATTCATAATTTTCCATTTTTAGCTACAGCAGAGCAGATACATTTTAATTTATTGTGTTGTATGCTGTAGCTTGCGGCGGTAGGACGTTTCTTTTAATTACACGCACAATATTTGTGCTTCTTGCCTGAAACTGGATCTGTGGGTAACACGGCTGTCCCAGAGAATCACTGACAAAATGAAGGGTTTTTAAGGGAACGTATTATCATCAATAGAAAAGTGAATTTCACACTAAACTATTACATTTGCACAACACTAAATAAAGCCTTAAAGGCTTAGTTCATCCAAAAATGAAAACTCTGTCATTAATTACTCCCATAGACAGCAAGGTAATTACCACGATCAAGGTCCAGAAACGTAGCTAGGAGATCGGTAAAATAATCCATGTGACATCAGGGGTTCAATCGTAATTTTACGAAGCTACGAGAATACTTTTTGTACGCAAAGAAAACAAAAATAACGACTTTATTCAACAATTCACTGAACGTAAACAGCGTATGCTATTCTACGTATTCTACGTTGTTTACGCTTTGATTTGAACGAAAACAACGTATCCGCATGACGCAGCTGACACAGAAGAGCATACGCTGTTTTCGTTCAGTGGATATTCTCCAAAATGGCACCAGGGTGACGCGGAGGAGACGAATTGTTGAATAAAGTCGTTATTTTTGTTTTCTTTGCGTACAAAAAGTATTGTTGTAGCTTCGTAAAATTACGATTGAACCCCTGATGTCACACGGATTATTTTACAGATCTCCTTGCACGAAGCTACGAGAATACTTTTTGTACGCAAAGAAAACAAAAATAACGACTTTATTCAACAATTCGTCTCCTCCGCGTCACCCTGGTGCCATTTTGGAGAATATCCACTGAACGAAAACAGCGTATGCTCTTCTGTGTCAGCTGCGTCATGCGGATACGTTGTTTTCGTTCAAATCAAAGCGTAAACAACGTAGAATACGTAGAATAGCATACGCTGTTTACGTTCAGTGAATTGTTGAATAAAGTCGTTATTTTTGTTTTCTTTGCGTACAAAAAGTATTGTTGTAGCTTCGTAAAATTACGATTGAACCCCTGATGTCACACGGATTATTTTACCGATCTCTTTGCTATGTTTCTGGACCTTGATCGTGGTAATTACACTGCTGTCTATGGGAGGGTCAGAGAGCTGTCAGAATTCATGAATTCTCATCAAAAATATCTTAATTTGTGTTCCGAAGACGAACGGAGGTCTTACGGGTTTAGAACGACATGAGGGTGAGTAATTAATCTCAGAATTTTCATTTTTGGGTGAACTATCCCTTTAAGTTTTTTGTGAAGCTACTATCATTCCACTACTCTGCATTTTGTATTTTTAACACCTTAACAATCTTTTAACAATCTTTTTATTTTTTAAGATTTATTTTTGGCATTTTTCCTCTTTATTATGATTGGACAGATCAGAGCTGACAGGAAGTAAAGTGGGAGAGAGATAGGGGGGCGGGATCAGTAAAGGTCCTCGAGTCAGGATTCGAACTCGGGACACCCGTAGCACATCGGTGCTGAATGTCGGCACACTGCCCACAAAGTTATCAACACCGACACGGAACATATTTTTATATTCCACTGTGCTGCTTTTCCATTGTATTTTTTTATGTAAACATGCGCTAGGTGAACATGTTTGAACGTTGAGTTTGCATCTTGCGTATTTTGCACCATAATACATATACATATATGCACATATAAAGCAATATAAAAAGGAGGCACTCGGGTTAAAAAGTTAAACTTTAAATAAACACGTATTTGGACCTTCCGAAGACGAAGTATCTCGCATTTTCAAACACCCTGAGGGGCCGTTCGCACAGAATGCGTTTTTGTGCTCTGATATGCTACTTTTCCATTGCTTGTATGTAAAGATGCACATAAAACATGTTTTTGTGTTTAAAAATGTGTGGGGGTGGAATAAAACAACTCGAGGTTTTCCCAACTCTCAAGAAAAGAGCAAGAACAAAAGCCAAACATGTGATGACGGTGACTCTCATCATGGTGCTGCCTTTTTAAAATATGCAACGCTACTATTGAAACAATTTGAAAAAAACACATTGGTGGACACACAGCAAAATGGACACAGTGAAAAGAAAAAATGCAAGAGATGTGTTATTTAAAAATGTAACTACTATTAATTCGAGTGTCAGTTTTTAAAGCAGTTTGTCAGCGCAAGGAAAGAGACGATGCGTAAAACACATCCGTCCAGCACAGGTATATGTAGAAAAACTGCGCTATGGAATGCAAAAACTCATTGATGTGTCTTTCAGTTTTAAACACAACAAACACGTTCTGTGTGAATGGCCCTCAACACAGAAAGCATTGTCACTTGTTGGTGAATTGACTATGTGTTCCCTGAGCCTTTATTAGTGTTTCCACATATTTAAGTTCACATTTATGAATTTATTTGTAACAAAAGTATCTGCTATTATTCAGTGATCTATTCAAGTTCTAGGTTATAAATTCCAAACTTACTGTGACAGGGTTGAAATAATGTTGCTCTAATCTGAATATTTTTGGGAATGTCTCCCCTGCGGTGATCACCCAACGTCTATGACAGCAATGTCCCTGTAAATTTCGGCCTGAGATGCGAAAATATGAATTCTTGGCAGTTCAGCAGTAACCTTTTCAAATGAAATTATTAAAAAAGTCCTGAAATTTTTATGGCGTAAATGGCACCGTTTCTTGGGAATGACCCACTTATTGCACTTTGTAGAACTTGAGGAAAATGAAGCTTTTTTTTTTCTTTTGTAGTGTGTTTATCCTGGGTGCGATGCTGGTTATCGCTGCTACGTTTCTCTACGGGTATGAGAGCACACCTGCGGTCAACCCTAGTAAAGTATAGAAGACTGGACATGAGATGATAAACAATCATCAGGAGATGCTCTACTTCAGGTGAAGTTCAGGACAAGAGAACCGGTGTATTGTAAGGACGCTATTAGAAGGTAGCACAAAAAAAAATAATATTATATGACATCAACACACCAGGAATCAAACTCCTGCTTCTGACGTATTAGGTGGCAGGACTGTTTGTTACACTCAGCTGAGGACTTTAAGGACTTCCATTTGAAATGTGTTTACATATACAGGTGCATCTCAATAAATTAGAATGTCATGGAAAAGGAGATAGTGAATTGGTGGGTTTTTGTTAAATGTGAGCCAAAATCATCACAATTAAAAGAACCATAGGCTTAAACTACTTCAGTCTGTGTGCATTGAACTTATTTAATACACGAGTTTCACAATTTGAGTTGAATTACTGAAATAAATGAACTTTTCCACGACATTCTAATTTATTGAGATGCACCTGTAATAGGAATCTCTGAGACAGAGCCTCACAAATTCAACATGTTACAGTTTCATATTTATTTTCTGTGCTGGCGTATTGAGAAAGCGATTGTTTTACTTGAATGTATCCTTTGAGAAACATCATTTTCTCAAAGCCAATAAAAAGTGTTTCAATTCTGGTAATAAAAACAAGTTGAATCTCAAACGTTGAACCATTAGGAGTAATGACTGCATTTTGACTGGTCTAATGATCTGGCATTGTGGGAAAAATGTTGAGAGATCAGACTCCTGCGAGATGCTCAGTGCACTTTTATTGGTCCTTGAATGAACAGAGTGAACTGTCAGACCTTGTTGCTCTCAGCTGGGGGTTTCAGTGGAAATAATATATATGTTGCATCACAGTTTGTTTTATGCAAAAATGACTTGCATGCAAGAAGGGAGATGAAAAATCAGTTCCCCCTCTAACTGGGTCTTCCTCGCCCATAATGCAATTCTATGAAACTTTTCCACAGTAAACTCAGTCTCTTCCATTGCATAGACTTGTTTTGCAGTGGGAAAGCATGTGGAAATGAAAAAAAGTGGGTTTTAACCATTTAAGCAACATTTTTATTCCTCATTTCGGCACATCCTGTTCTACGAAATTTTGAAATCATTAATCTGCCGCTGGTGTTCATGCATTTTCAGATAATGAGTTCATATGTTTGAATGTGTCTTTTATTTAGATTATCATCTTGAGGAGGAATATGGCTTTGAGAGAGATACAGAAGATGTAACTGAGAAATGATAGAGGGAGATGATGTGAGGTATTTATCATATTACAGAGAAGGAACCCCATATGATGTATTCTACCTTTGTCTAGATCAGTGCTCCAAGCTTTTAGACGTACTGCATGCATCTCAACTTCCAATGAAACTTTCCTTTGAAAGTGATTTTAGGCAAAGCATCAGGCATGAATAAATGCTCTGTTAGATTTAAGAGTTAGTCATTATTATTATTTTCTGTTATATGTCCAGACTGGATATCAACCTCTTCATTTCCAACCAGTCCAATTCAGTGCATAATAAAACAATACAATTCACTAAATTAAAAGCATGCAAATAATGAATAAAACTCTCAAGTAATTTATAAGTAGTAAATTTAGCAGTGTCTCATGAAAGCATTAGCCACACACTTTATACTGTATGCATGTTAGTTTGTTGGTCCCTCCACAGAACAGTTTACTCCAGAGAAAGATGACAGAACCCATAGTTTAACATTTATTTTGGATTTTTTTTTATATATTTGTTTTTCACATTGATTTCCTAGAGCCTACTTTGTAAAAAAAAAAAAAAACATCTTCTAACTTTATATAAATCTTTATTTAAATATTAATTTGCATTGCGTGCCAAGACTGCAAGTTATTTATTTTGTTTTAATATTTATTTCTTTTTGTTATTGTTGCTTTATTTTTCGTATTTAAACAGCCCTGTATGAATTTTTGTGACACTTTATTAGCAAAAGCATTATTTTGAAAGCAAGTCCAAAATCTATTTGATTTTACATAGATAAAAGTTTTGTCCATTTTTCATAAAAAGTTAGTAATTGTGTCATCCTAAATCAAGGATGTTTTGTTTGTTGTTTTGAACCCTGCTAAAATTCACTGCATGGACAAAACAGTTCTCAAAATATCTTTGTGTCCAACAAAAAAAAACATGCAGGTTTGTAACGACACAAAGATGGGTAAATAAGGACAGAATTGTCATTTTCGGATTTACTTTTTATCCCTTCAAAAGCTAAACCTGACATTTGTAATGGAAACTCAATTTCGTCTGTGTCATAATTACCCAAGGAGTCTCAGTGGGAGAGGACGGAGTGAGACAGATAGAGAATAGAGAGAGGGAGACAGGGACGTGGAATGGCACAGATGGAGTGTGTATGTCATGTGATTAATCTGGTGAATGCCTATGGTGCAGCACCCACTGCGTAAACTCTAATGGACTCATGTGCGAGTATAAACAAACTCCTATCGACTGATTGGATGAACGGCCCCACTGCATCCTCGACATTACTAAATAGTGAAGTCACAAGTCTCAATCGACTGGTAGAAGTTTCAAAGAGTTTTGCTGGTTGTCCTATAAAGCAAAAGTGTACATTTCCGGCTGGACCTGCGGTGACCTCCCTTGGTTCTTTTAATGCCACTGGATTCACTTTGTGTTGTATGGGACCAAACATTCAATCTTTTTCATGCATTATATAGCATCCGTCCTGAAAGTTTAGGGCCTTGTTGCAAAAAAAAAAACGTAACGTAAGACTCTTAGTAATAATTGTAAAGATATTACCACTAAGGGTTTTCCAAAAGGGATAGTTCACTGAAAAATGAACATTCTGTCATCATTTTCACACCCTCATGTCGTTCTAAATCTGTTTGACTATCTTTCTTCTATGGAACACAAATGAAGATATTTTGAAGAATGTATTCAGCTGTATTTTGTCCATATTACGACATGACTTGCAGGAACCAGTCGTGACTTTCGTTGACATTCGCCATATTTTATGTAGTCTGTGTATGCATGTGTTGATCAATGATTCGAAGTCTTACATTTTCATTCAAAACGATCATGTTGCCCTGGAGGACTTGAAATATTCCAGTCGAGTTGCACTCATTAATGTTATATGCTACATTTAAGTCATATATTTCGATGTAAATTTTTGGACCCCATTGGCTTTCATTGTATGGACAAAAACAGCTGAAACATTCTACAAAATATGTGACCCTGGACCACAAATCCAGTCATAAGTTGCTGGGGTATATTTGTAGCAATAGCCAACAATACATTCTATGGGTCAAAATGATCGATTTTTCTTTTATGCCAAAAATCATTAGGATATTAAGTAAAGATCATGTTCCATGAAGGTATTTTGTAAATTTCCTACCGTAAATATATCAACACTTACTTTTTGGTTAGTAATATGCATTGCTAAGAACTTCATTTGGACAAATTTAAAGGCGATTTTTTTTGCACCCTCAGATTCCAGATTTTCAAATAGTTGTATCTCAGCCAAATATTGTCCTATCCTAACAAACCATACATCAATGGAAAGTATATTTATTCAGCTTTCAGATGATGTATCAATCTCAATTTCAAAAAATTGAGCCTTATGACTGGTTTAGTGGTCCAGGGCCGCAGATCTTCTTTTGTGTTCTGCAGAAGAAAGAAAATAAAAAACACGAGGGTTAGTACATTTTCATTTTTTTCTGTGAACTATTCCTTAAACCTAGTGGGTTCATGTAGTACTAGTTACTCCTGATCATTTGCTGTCTGACCAGGTAAAGGTAGTAAAACCTCATGGTGCACGCAGAGAATTCCCTTCTCGACTGACTAGTTCAGAGCAACTGAGAAACCCAACAAAACTGGGAATCCACAAGGCCAAACAGTGCATGCAGTCTTCAATGTCCCATAGGCACTGTTAAGACACCCCTATTTGGGTGGTATCACTACCAGAGGTTGTCCTCTCCTGGGCCTCCACATCAGCACCTGGGCATCGTTGGCATTGGGCCTGCCCAGAGCGTTGGGCGGGATGGGCTCGTTGTTGCTGAGAATGTGCGGCTGTTCCTGATGCGGCCGTCCCATCAGTTTGGCTCGAGAACCAAGCGGCATGGAAGGATCCACCTCAATGTCTACGCGCATATGCCAGCGCACCGTCTGAAGAACGATACGCTCTTTGGTGTCTGCGTTTAGCGCCACCAGCCAGGTGATGAAGCTCTGGTCTCTGGTGATGTGCGTGAGCATGGGCGTGTTGCTGTTGCTGATGGGCACCGCCCAAGTCACGCTGGGGTAGAAGTTGTCGTTCATACTCACCGTTAGCCGGGACGGCTTGGACGTGGGGCCAGAGAGGGTCACTGTTTCGGTGGTGTTACCGTACCAGGGATAACTGACGCCGTCAGAATCGCTTATGGCCTTCACACGTCCTTGTCGAAGCTCGGGTAATTCCCAGCTGGACCTGCGGAAGGGAAAGAAGGTGAGCGGTCAGGAAGGACAAAAGAGGCATGAGTCCAGAGAGCGGCAGTGCCTTAAAGGGGTCATATGATGCTGCTAAAAAGAACATTATTTTGTGTATTTGGTGTAATGAAATGTGTTTATGCGGTTTAAAGTAAAAAAAAAACATTATTTTCCACATACTGTACATTATTGTTTCTCCTCTATGCCCCGCCTTTCTGAAACGCGTCGACTTTTACAAAGCTCATCGGTCTGAAAAAGCGAGGTGTGCTGTGATTGGCCAGCTATCCAGTGCGTTGTGATTGGCCGAATACCTCAAGCGTGAGACGGAAATGTTACGCCCCTTACCATACTGTTGATGCTGTGTCCCGGCCGGAGCGACAAGACAAAAACATTAAAACCCATTACAAACGAGGCATTTGTTGCATCCAGTGGGGACATAATTACTGATTATAATGACTTATACTGTCTTTTTGCACGTTGCATCGTGCCGCGTAAATATAAAACCCTGTCTGCATTCTCTCGCTCTCTCTCGCGCACTGTCTGTCCCTCTCGCGCACATTTTCGGTCTCTCTCATGCATCTCGCTCTCTCTCGGACACACTCGGCCTCTCTCGCGAACTGTCGCTCTCTCTCTCCGCGTTCGCTTCACTTTTGTCCAACCCGGCGCCTCATAGGTGAAAGCCGATCCGGCGAGCCACAGCATATATACATCCAAATACATCCAAGTTTATGTATTTCCTCAGCGACCAGCACAGATCAGCTTTAGGCATGACGAAGCAGATATCGTCCTCTTTTGGAAGACCAAACAAAGTAGTTTCGCTTTCACAACGAAGCACACAGCATCTTCAGGACATGGCGGCAGCTGCAACAATACTACAGCGAGAATAAAAGTTATGCCTTCTTTCTTTGCGTGAACATTTGGGCGGCGTTATGCAAATCTTCCCACATAGTGAGGTAGATATGTGGGGGCGTGTTAGAACGAGCCGTTTTAGGTAGGTGTGGCTGACTCTTAACTTTTATAAAGAATATCTCTTTGGATTTGAGACTTTAGTCTTTGCAACTTTACAGACCTTCTTTATGCACCAAGAGCTTGTAACACTCCAAAGAGAAAGGAAAAATTTTAATCGCATCATATGACCCCTTTAATGCATCAAACGGGCGAACGAGGCGAGTGAATAGAGATGGCGAAGGTGAGTGAGCACGGACCTGCTCAGTACAGTGTTTCATACAAATATGGAAAAACAGTCTATTAAAAGACACGGGGCTGTGAATGAAATGTTCATAATTGTTTTTTTTTCCCTCAGTTAGCCTTCCTACTCATTTTAATTATCTCTTCCTAAGCTGTCTCTGTCCGCTTCTCTCCTACTCTGATGGTCTCCTTGATGATCCTGTATTTTAGGGTTATGTTTAAAGCTTGATTTGGGGCTTGAACAACAAAATTTCCCTCAATTTTAGAGGGTAATGTTAGGAACAGCTTGGCAAAATCATGGTCGATAGATTAGGGTCGGGCAAAATTCTGAATTGAAGAATTGGCTGCCTTTCAATTCATGAGTGCAACTTTAAAATGAATGGGGCACAACTCACAGGAAGTAGAAGTAGAAATGGAATTCAACATAGGAAGTACATTCTGGGTACTGAATTCTCTCTCCACAAGACCTATAAATCTTTAAAGGGGTCATATGACGTTGCTAAAAAGAACATTATTTGGTGTATTTGGTGTAAT